GGGGGGGGGGGAATGGTGCTGCTTGGACTTGGTCTCATAGGAACTTTCTCCCTTTTTCAGCCAGTGGTGATGCTGTGTTGCTGGTGGCCGAAATGCTCAAAGTATTTGTTCGAGGTGAGTGGTTAAAGACTGGAATGAGTCATAGAGGGGTGGGACAGGGTCTGTGGAAGCTTAACATTTTGTTGTACAATTCCACATCTTTTTTTTTTTTTTTTTAAGTTCCAGGCTTCTTGCTCATCCCTCAATGTTTTTAGCAAAAGCAAGTGTATCACTCATAAACCTCATTTTTTATTCCAGTCACAGAATTGGATTTCTAATCTTAATATTAAATGCCTAAATAAGTATGTGTGCTGATGAAAGTCAGAACTTTCCCAGAAATTTTAATTCATGAGTTACTTAGGATCCCTCTGCCTGTTATGAATTATCTAGTTTTGTGTCATGTATACATACAAAGAGAGCACATGCTTGCTTTCTGATAATTTTCCCTTTTTATAATAAGGTTGACAAGCAAAAGAATCACAAATGATCCTACATGCCATTTTTGCCATCTTTCTCAATGCCCCATCTACTTATTTTTGCTTGCCATGTTTGCATGTTGCAGAAGCAGCAGCACGAGGAGCGCGGCAAGCACAGACTGAGGATCTAACTAGGGTGGAAGTGGAACACATAGAAAAAATCCTGCCACAGCTGGTATGTACAACAGCTCAGATTCCAGATTACAAGATAAAGATATGGGCAAAGGCATCTTAATCCCCTTTTTTCAGGGAGATGTTTAGCTGGTTAGTAATATCCTCACTGGGCAAATGGAACTCAAGCAGATCTGTTAACTAATTTGGGGCAAATCTGTTATTCATGTTAAAATGCTTCATTTCCACAGCTTCTGGATTTCTAGAAACCTGATGAGTGAAAAATCTGCATTCCTGTTACTAAGAAATTCTTGGCCTGAACTCAGTAGCAAAATGAGCCATAGACTTGTAAGATGGAATTTCTTACAAAATGACCTGACTTCCTGGAATGACAACTTCAATAACTTACCTTCCATCTCAGCTCTGTTTGCCATCTCTTTTGGGGTGCCTTATAATTGTCAGTGTCACCTAAAATAACTGTGGGTTTGTTGAGGGGGTTTGGTATCACAATTCCCAGAGCAGATGGTGACTATCTGAAGCTGTGCCCTGCCCTTCTGCTTCCCATTCATAGCTGGGCAGCATCTTTACTTTTCTACTGAGAGAAACAGGTGCCGTCCTCTAGGTATGTGTGGAAAGGGTATGCTTGGAAGGCTTGGCTACACCATGGGCTCTCATCACCTCCAGGCCTAACTGCTGTCTTAAGCTCTTAAACAGGAGCCTAGCCCCAAATCTGTGCCAACAGCAGGTACCTGATCTTTATTTTATGAATAAACAGTGCCTGTCCTTCAATCCTTTCCCACATTCCACAGGGCCATGACATCAAAGAGTGCATGGAACCTTTTAACCATTTGATATTCCTCTAAGAAGCTGCTTCCCTCTGCTATAAATTTGTTCTTACAAAGAAACTTCAATAAATCAAAATAACCTCCCTCCCTTGTGTGGGCTCCTTGTTGCAATAAATCATAGAAAGTCAAGTATCTTCAAAGAGTTGTTTGGCCTCCCCACCCCGCCTCTTCTTTGTAGGACGAAAGAAAAACTTTCAGAAAGGGGCAGAATAACAAACAGCATGTGTGAGGATCCCACATCATGCAAGACCCAACCCCTCTGTCAGCAGGGGAAGGGGGAAGCTGTGAAATAGTAAACCTTACACATGGAGGCAGGGCGTAGCCTAATGAATCTGGTTCTGTTGTGAAATAAAGATCAGGCCTAAAAGAAGAGTAATTGTATCTTAAGGAACTGCTGGCAAAACACTATGGTTGTATACTCAGAAGCAAGCACCACTGAGTTTGGTAGCACATAACTGAGTAGACTGTGCTTTTGTAGACGTTGGAGTACAACTATCATCACCTCTGATCATCAGCCATGCTGAAGCTGATGGGAATTGTAATCCAGCAATGTCTGGGGGTAGCAGGCCCACCATTGCAGGTGTATATAATTGGCAATACTCATTTGAAATGATGAGTCTGTTGCCATGTCAGCTTTAAAGTAGGAATGACAGTAACCAAGTTGGTCAATGGGAGGAGTTCTCCAGTGTGTTTCTTTCTACGTATTAGTACTGTACAAGAAATTACTGTTGCTTTGCATTGTTTCTGGCATGCCTAATGCTGGTTACTCCTAAGACAAAGAACACACATTGGATGGGATGCTGTAATCCAAAAATATCTTAAGCAGCAGTTGTCAATGAAAAAACACAATTACAAGTGTAAATTATCTCTTCCCCTCTTGTCAGATGTAACCACAGTAAGATTAGCACTAAAGCCTACCTTGATTCTCATCCTAAAGAGTTTAAAAACTGCAACTAAGCTCAAAAAATACTTTGTGGATTTGACATACTGTTAGTGTAGCCTCATGCATATTAGTGCTAAGCCATGTTGAAATGGACAAAGGAAAAAAATCATGCCCCAGTTTACCTATCAACTGTAAACCAGAATTTAGAAGCACAGTAAATTGCAGCATGCTGCATTGTATCATTTAACTGAACCTTTCCATAACTGGGAATCCTCCAGGTTCCAACTCCGGGAATTCTCAGCAATGGCCATGCTGAACGATGTTACAAGTTGAAATCTACACATTTGGAGATCCCAGTTTGGGAAAGCTGGTCTGATTCTGTTCTCCTAAGAGCATGTGGTCTAGGCAGTAGTATTTCACACTATTCCCATTTCCTTTAACTAATATTCCAGGCTTTTGCATATACAGACAGACTCAGTGAGCTGTGATTCTTTCCCTTTAATTTACAGCGAGCCAGTACTGGTTCTGTACAATTTTTTAATTAAAACTCTTGCAACTTTGTGTTGGAAGAAAATAAAATTAAAAGGCAATTTCTGTACTCTGATGCAATGTCAACAGCACTGTCATATATGCTGCCATTTAATTCTGCATATTTAAGATATGCTCAAGTTAATGAACATGAAAGTCTTAAATATGCTATTTATTAATATGTTTATTATCTGTTAAGGGGTAGGTGATCAACCAGCCTAAATTTAGCCAGTGAGTTTTGAGTGAATGAGGATTTGAATCTTGATTTCTCCATCTCAAGCCACATCCTGTACTAGAACTGTTTTTCACACTCACTTTATATATACACAGATAATCAAGTTTGGAAGTATAATTGCAATCAAAAATAATTAAGAGTTTGAAGAGCTGATGATAGGCCCTAGCTACTATTAGCCTATAAACCTATTTTAGCTGAAAAAGATATTTGTCTAACAACCTCAGCAGTGATTATTCAGAACGAAATCTTTATGCATGTGTTGAAACTAATTGCTCAAAGCGCTTCCTTCATTTTCTTTTGGTTTGATTTTTGTACTCCCTGGAGAGCAAATGGCCAACACAGTTGCTTCATATACAGCTTGACTTGAATCCAGTCTAAGACACTGCCACAGAGGCAGGAAGTTTTGTACCCAAAGCAAAGGTAAACAAGAAACATACATGCATACAATGTTTGTATTAAAGTCATTATTATAATTCTAGCACGCAGCCGTTTAATAAGGTGTCCGTGTCTGGATTTTTCCAAGATGAACCCCAATTCTAGTCCAGGCATGATGTTGAAAAAGAACAGATCAAACAAATGTGATCTTTTGGGTTATTCCCTAAAGATGTTCCCTGAACATGCTGTAAGGAATTGGTACTGTTGTTTCATTTGGATCAAGCCCGCTCACTAAATTCTGGTACATTTAATTTCAATTTTTTTTAAAAAAAACTGACTTTTGTAGCGGTACAACTGAATCTGTAGGGGGTAAGGCTGAAGGTCTCAAACCAGCTCTCCCAGAACGTATCCAGTCCTACACTCCCTAGCTCTGCCTCCTGCCTTGATGTAGTGCATTGATAGTTTTTGCTGCCTTTCTTTCAGGGGGGATGCCTTACCCTTTTCTCCACAACACAGCCTGTGTGCCTTATTGATGAATAAAGAGGAGGAAAAAATGACAAAAAGGAAATAGAAACTCTATAGCTACCTCCTGGCTGAGAAACACTGAGGCATATCACTTGAACTGGCCCCTTTTATCCATGGAGAGATGAACCAATCTCACAAAAGTTAATCTTTTTTTTTTTTTTTATTTTTTAGTATTTACATGTAATACATTACTTGGGGGAGAAAATAAAAATATAGGGCTGCTACAATCAGGCAGCGCCTCAACACAAAAATAGAAACACTGAGGCATATCACTTGAACTGGCCCCTTTTATCCATGGAGAGATGAACCAATCTCACAAAAGTTAATCTTTTTTTTTTTTTTAATTTTTAAGTATTTACATGTAATACATTCAGTGGTGTAGAAAATAAAAATATAGGGCTGCTACAATCAGGCAGCGCCTCAACACAAAAATATACAGGAAAAGGTAAGACTTAGCAGATACCAAGGCAATTCTGATCTGCTCTCATTTAGTCTGATGTAAAGAGGCTAATTTGCATAAAATACATGAGGGCTGAATTTTTAAGTCTAATTATTTCTCATTATTGTCTGTATATAAACAGAGAAAAGAAGTTAAATTAATACACTCTTAGCTAATTTTCCTGCAGGATAGAAGACCCTTGGAACAGTGCCAGTGTGTTACCAGGAAAATCCATCCTGCAAATTCTAATTTTATTCAGAGGCTACAAAAGAACATTAGTTTGCTTTTTCTTTCTCCCCCCACCCCCTTTGGCTCACAGCTTGTCTCTCTTCAGTGTGAGAACTGCCTGCAGTTTCCAAAATAACAAAAGCTTTGTCACCTGAAAAGGGAGGGGTTGTGGGGGATTTCTCCTTTGGCTACATGCTAAAGAAGCATCTCAAGAAGATCCTGCTTGAGACAGAGGGACATGTATTCCCTGTCTGGGAAGCATTTGTCAATCATGAATGCTGGGTGGCATCAACAACTTTACTGTATCATTAAGGCAGTTCAGTGTTTCAGATTTTATTCCACAAAAATGCATCACAATACAAATGCAGTTGTCTGCAATTTTTTAAAGTAGATGTACCTTTTCTTGGATACTGCAGCTGCCACATGATCCCAGAAAGGCATATAGCTGCTTTAAAGAGCTGCAAACAGGTGTTACATTTCTGTCTAGGCATACTTCAAAGCATTTGGGGGGGGGGGATTCCAAAATACTGCACTACCCTAATGATTATTTCTACAACATTGTGATTAGGATGTCAGATGAGGGCTGGGAGACCAAGTTAAGATTACTTTCAGTCACAAAAGGTCATTGGGTGATTTTGGCTATGAGATAGTGACTGGCCCAATTTATCTCACAAACCGTTGTGAAAATAAAACTGGGAGGAAGATGGAGCATTACACTGAGAACCTGGAGAAAACTATATAAATTACAAATAGCAATGTAAAGTTTGGCAGCTAAAAGGAGAGTATGTAATTATTTTTGGTAAAGTATTAATAGGCTAAACAAGCTATACTTTTATTTTGGAGCATTGAGTGGGTGTGAGAGTGGATTCTCACATTTTCAAATAATCTGGAGCTATTGTGTAAACAATATACAGATGCAGCCAGCCTGGTTTCTCAGAATAGAGGTGCTTCCTCCTCACTTGAAAGTGCAAGAGAAAGCAAGCAAGAATTTTGAATTGCCTATATAGAAAGTTCATATTTGAAAGCAAAAGAACTTGTTGGAATTCTTGTGCTATTATCTTAACCATTTTTTTCTAATTAATTTTGCTACTCAGGGTTTGAACATCTCCAATCTTAATCACCACTAGAAACTTTTGACAGTGATGATGCCTTGTTTTTTTTGCTTCCAACTACCATTAAATAGAATTTGTGACAATATCCATGTGTACCTGCAGCTAAGAACAATCCAAAGCTAAGTTATTTATCAGAAGCATAGTCCTGCTTCAAAACCAGCATTTTGAAACAAGCCTTGTGTAAACTGATTATTTTGCATTAGTAAGCATCAGACCTAGTATGTTCTGCTGGAAGGGAAGAGCTGGTACTCAACATTACAAATGGAAACTTGCTAGAATAATTGCTGGCCAAGAGAAATTGAATCTGTAATTTAGAAAGGTGAAAAAGAAAGAACTTGCCTGTTACTCAAAAACAGTGGGGAAAAAGCAGGAAACTCTTGAACTAGGGCTCTTATCTGTTTGCTGATTTTGCCTTGGGAAAAGTAGCTGAGTTTAGCAATCCAATGCAAATCTAGAATTTGGCATCAAGCAGAATGCACGTTAAAGTATCAAAACAAAAGTATCTATTTTTAAAGAAACCACATACACCATTCAACCAAAGACCACATTCTAGTATGTAAAATCCTCTGAATAGAAGGGGAGTGATGCATGTTTCAGCACAGAATGCCAACTACCCAACTATACAACAGTATAGTGTACAAAAGGATATTATATGAAAGACCAAAACCAGCTCTGGTGTCAATAATAAGTGGTTCAAAAGAAACAGAACCTCCAGCACAGAATGCAGCAATAAGATAACCTGCTAAACTCTTATGCAGAGATGGACTAACTGAAAACCACAGAGACCCACATTCCTCCAGTAAGAATAGAGTGACTGATACTGGCTGTGTTGTGTAACAACCTGAATTTGGTCCTAAATTATTTTCTAGTGCAGCCACTCTAAGTACTACAAAAGATAGTAACATGTGTACACAACTGTTCTATGGATTAAATTTTTATCTGCTCATTTTAATTGACATTAAAGATCACTTTGTTCGCTGTTTTAGTTACCTTCTGTTTTTTGCACGCAGAAATGTCTTCCTACCTTTTTCTTCCCCCATCCCCTCCCAATTTTCTTCAAAGCAGCTGGAAGCATTTGGAAGTAATTAGACCTGAAGGGAAATGTTGGCCAATCTAGGAGACAATGACAAGTGCCAGGAATCCTTGGTGCCCCTTCCAGCCACTTTGAAGTTCATTCAGATGGTACAATGCTGTTTTCTTTGTTAGAAAAGTGGGGGCAGGAGGGAAGCAGGCCATATCAAGCCCACTGAATGGAAAGCAGGTTACTCTAAATTGGTATCTTAACAGTAGATACAGATGGAATGTATGGTTCACATGGAGACTGTATAGCCATTTTTCTTTAAGATATTTATATTTTTACAGAAGTCATGCATCCCTCATTCCCCTAATGTGAACCCAGTTTGATCATCTTTTAAGATTACAAAACAGGCAGGCATAGATTTAAAAAAAACCCTGTGATGTGGACCATTTATTTCTAGGAAAAGAATATGCTGCTTCCTTCACTGACATGCCAACACAGAGAAGGATTAGGATCTTTTGAGTATTATAGCACAAATGTTAAGGTATTAGGCTAGCTTTGTAGCTACAGTATTTACAGGGGTGCATCTCTTCGATCTGCCCCTGTTCCCATCATGAATATGGAAGCTCTTGAATGTAACAGTGCTTAAGTACTGTTGTCATGTGAAAATATGTATGTGCAATACTTCTTAAGTAGAGCTATACAAAATGTTCCACATTCCAAGTGAATGCTTTGAAATTCTGAGCTGGGGGTGGGGGGGAACACCCAGTGATTTGAAGTTTTGTTCTCAACTGAGGACAACATTGGGTATTTTGTTTCTTAAAGCATTTTAACATGTACTGCCATCCCATAATTGGAGACTTTTTTAAAAAAAAATAAGCCAATCACAGGCTTAAAGTGCATTGGCCAACAAAACAGTAGGCACTTGTTCCATCCCTACTACCACTGGTGGAAGGTAACTGAAGGCAGGAGAGGCTAAGCATATGATCAATGATTGAGAAGACCTCCTTTGCATGTAAGAAAAAGACTGCTGCTCCCTGTTCACTGGGATTTAAATTCATTCTTATTAGGAAGTTAGAGCCCAACGGTTGGAATGTAGTGATAGTATTGACATGCTGCATTATCTTTGCAGGTAGGCTGTTAAATGCTAAGAAGGGCACAGCACTGCATTACATACAAGATAGCTTTCAGGATATCAAATGTATTGAAGTAAATCTCTTCTTTGTTGGGCTCACTTCTGTAGCCAAATATAGCAGCCACTGGCTATAAAGAACATGCAAACTGTTATGCTGTAGCACTTAGTATGGCTTCCCTGTTCTACATACTTTTATGGTTTTATGACATAAAATGAAGGCAGAAAGGGCTTGTTGCAAATTCCTATTACTCTCTTTGGCAGAACTCTCAATGTTTTGAATGTTGTCCTATACTTGTGATGATGAACCTATGACACACGTCAAAGATGACACGCCATGACCTTTTGGGTGACACATCAGCATTCACCAACACCTGATAACTATTCTCCCTGTTTGTTACCAAAGAAACTGAGTTTATCTGTATTTCATTTTTGTAATTTTTTGATGTTTCTTTATATAATATATAGCACCACACAATTGGATTGTATTTTTTTAAATAAATGAATATGTAAAGAATTGTTTCTCTTTTGTTTGGGGAGGAGGGTGGTGACACGCCAGCAGAGTCAAGTTATGCATTTTCCAAATTTTTGACATGCCAAGCCCAAAAGGTTTGCCATTACTGTCCTATAGAACTATGGGGCATCCAAATTTGACATGGAGCCATTTTGTTCCAAGCAAAGTGTTTTGTGTATCTCCCTATCCTCAAGGAGCTACTCAGGGATTCTTAATTTTTATAGGAGTTAGGTGCTGAATTCAGTGAGGGCTAGAGCAGCATAATATTCACCTGATTCAGTACTACTGTTTATTGTGGAGCAGTATCCACCTCCTTCATTAAATATACATTTTAGTTTAAAGGAGACTGCCTGTATATGAACAAGCAGTCTTTATTTACTACCTGGGTGCTCATAGTCAGCAAAGGTATCTTGCTTTTCCTTAACAGAAAGAATGATTCAGAAGACCAAATGAATACAGAGGATAGAGCTGAAATTCCTAGACCATTATGAGATGAACCAAAACTAGTATATTACCAAATCGAAGAGCAGCATCTCCTTTTCTATCAATTTGTACAATATTAACCTGGCACAAAATACAGAAAGGAACAATAAATTGAGGGTCTGATAAGTCACCCGTGGGGGAGATGGGCGGCATACAAGCCAAATAAATAAATAAGGAAAGGAAAAAAGACCTAAACATGTCCATAGCAAATACATATTAAA